TACACAACATCAATATTCCACTTGTACAGGATCTTTTCCTGTTTGTGTGGATACAGATTGTCCGACAGACTTGCGTCCGGCATACTTGCGTCGAATCCCGACATCTTGCACGATCAAAGTCCGATCGAACGTGTCGAAAACCTCGTACTTGAATAGTTTCTTTTGGAACGTAAAAACTCATATTTCGTCATATCCCAACAAGAACCATGGAACCAAATCCGCGTGTCGTTCAGGTAGCTGTCCATATTGAACATTCGCCGCTTTATTGAGTTGGCAAATCTCACAGGTGAATCGTTCAATTTGTTGCTTCAACCCAGGAGAATAGAATCGCTTTGCAATTGTAGCATACATGGACGTTTTTCCTCTGTGTCCAAGCACAAGGTGATACCAGGTGTTTACATCATCAACCAAACTCAAAGGCAAGCAAAATCTCCAATCGTCTTGAAGTGCAGGATCGATTCAATAGGTGATGATGAGTCGCTCGTCAATTGTCTCGATCTGATAGTGCTGTGCATCGCGTTGAGCTCGTTGCATGAGCAATTGATCTTGAGTTTGATGTTGTTGAATGTTTGGCATTGTGATTGAGTTCGGCATCGCTTGTAGAGGAGGATGATTCAAAAAGGACTCTTCCATTTCAATGTCGTCAATGGTCAGATGTTCATGAATATCTCCATCTCGGCAACAGGAGAACTGACATCGAAAAGTACTACTGAAATCGGCTTCTGTTGGTGGCGCAATCAAATCATTTTCTTTTACAAGAACATTATCTTCAAACGTGTAGATTTTGTCTTCGGGATCAACAGAAACCTTTAATTTATTAAACGCAATCAATTTGCCCTTATTTGGACTCTTCCCTACAGATGGCTTCTCCATTCGCGGAAGCCAAGAAAATAGACAAAATTGGGGCCAAATTCTTCAACAAACATACGCCAACAAAGAACTTGTTGTGTGTTCAACGTTCGCATTGTGAGATTTTTATGATCAGTAAAAATAGGTAATTTGGCACCATATACCATAGACCGAAATTCCTTCAAACAATGTACAACAGCCAACATTTCTTTTTCCATCACAGAGTAATTGCGTTGTGCAGCATTGAGCTTACGACTCCAGTAGGCGACTGGTTTACCTTCTTGCATGATCACAGCGCCCATTTGGTAGTCCGACGCATCAGTATAGATTTGAAAGGGTTTGTTTGGATTGGGGTAGCGCATCATTATATCGCTAGCCATGACAGCTTTCATTTCAGCGAAAGCTTTGGTGCATTCATCAGTCCATTCAAACATTCCTTTGCCTGTGAGCTCCGTGAGGGGTTTGAGAAGATGAGATCGACGCGGCCACATGTGGCGGTAAAAGGTAACAGCACCAAGAAATGCACGCAATTCTGTTACATTCGTAGGCGCTGACATCTTGAGGATGGCATCAATCTTTTTCTTCCACGGCTTGACACCTTCAGGACCTTGGAGTGACCTTGGAACTAGATTAGACCCTTTGGGGAGGTACATACATAGCTTTAGGCCTAACTCTCACGTCACTCCTTTCTGTGGCTTTCTGAGAGACTCTATAACTTTTGTTGTGACCCATTCCTATCTCTTCTTCTAGGCTGGTTCACTATTCGAATAGCCATAAGGCTTAGATTGAAGACTACAAGAGTATACTCTCTCACACACAAGCAATTGCCGTTTGATTTGATTGAAAAACCTTGATCCTTTCAGATTTACAACAAGTTTTACGCTACAGTACTTTTTCTACGATGCCTTCTACGCACATGCTCCGTCAAACCCTCATTGTCAATGAGGGCGACTCTCCATTGGCATACAAGTCCAGGGAAGTCACTAATCCAGTGATGCAATATGTCAGTTTTTTTACAACAACTTTGAGCGCAAGCGAAAGGTTGAAGTTTGGAATGGTGCAAGTGGAAAGAATGTTGAACCACTTCTCAGGTCCATTCAATCCTTTTGCAACATCGCTTCAGAGTGGGGACTCAATCAGGGTCGTCAAAAGAAGGCCTTGTTCAAGCAATTCCTCACTGCTGAACCGCACATGACCTATCAGAGGATTTCTGATACTCATGGGAACTCAGTTCAGGACTTTGAAGACTCTGTTGATGAATTCATTTGCGAATACAATGGTGAAAATCCAAAGTATCAGGCAAACATGTATCTCTTTGATACTTCCAATCAAATTCGCAAGCCGTATAATACCAAAATTGGAATTCACGCAAATTGCTTGAAAACCTTATTTATGTATCACGATATGCTTCCTGGAAATTGTTCCAACGTGAACGATGAGAACGATCCGGCTCAAATCCGGAAGCGAAAGCTAGCACTGTTTCGCTCCTTTCCAATTGATTGGCAGGGAGATTTTATCAATTCGCGGAATGATCCGGCGAACGACAATAATATTACGTGGAAAGATATTGTCAGTTGGATGACACAGAAGAAAAGAACAGTGGATAGGAAGAAACTTATGCAGGAGAGTTCTCAACGTCGAACTCGACCTGGTAGTCGCACAGGCGGTAGAGGCCTTGACCAAAATCGTTTTGGTGGTGGTCGTGGTCATGGTCATGGTTGACCAAGCAATGGTAATCAACCGTATCCAAGACCCTCGAACTCTCCAAGATATTCTCAAGGGAATTCACAAAGTTTTCAACGTGGAGGCAATTCCCAGCAAAAAAAACAAGGAAGATTTCAGCCAAGAAACCCCAACAATGGTGGCAGAGGCCGTGGATTCAATGGCCAGGGCAGTGGACGCTCCCAAACTGGCCGCTTTCAGCCAGGACGAAACTATCAAGGCAGAGGCCAATCACAGCAACAAAACAGTCAAAACTACTATGCTGAGTCGCACTACAATCAAGAAGCTGAAAGCTTTGCTGCGGAAGGCAGCGTTCCTGAATGGAACCAAGACGGAATGTCTTATGGTGGAATGCAAAGTGCCGAGCAGTACCAGCATCAGGAACACTATTATCAAGCTGAAGAAAATCAGCAATGGAATGATCAATTCAACTTTGAACAATAAGACTATTATCCTGAAGAACAGGAGGCGCAGGAACATTTTTCCTATGATGAAGATTCGCCATTTTCCTTTCATGAAGAGCATTGCTGACCAAAAATACTCGTAAACTAACAGAGCTCCCTAAGCTTCCTAATCCATTTCTGGAACCTGATTTATCTTCGTTTCTTTCAGCATTGGGGAAATTTGATGATGAAGATGGTCCAATGACTGAAGATGAAAAGGAGTTTATTTTGAATGATTCTTTGCTCCATATACCTACGCCAAAACAAGACGTAAATTCTATGGAGGATTTGATGAGAAAAAAGAGACTTTCACCTACATCATTGGTGATTTGGAAGACAATTGGAGGAATTGAGAGTGGAAAAGTTGAACGAGTATTATTTGATTCAGGAGGATCGCATACAATGATCAATGCGAGGGCGATTCCTACAGATGCTAAGGTCGAAAGTATTCAAAATGCAAAGAAGTGTACTACTGTTGCTGGTGATTTTGTTTCTGACAAATGTGTGAAATTGCGGGACAGAGTCTTTCCCAAATTTGACAAACATCGCAGAATTGCAGGTGTCGACGGTGTCAAGGCGAATGTCTTTGATTCGCCAACGTGTCCACATGACGTCATAATTGGACGCGACCTTCTACACAAAATGGGCTTGGATATCCAATTTTCAAACGGACAAGTCAAATGGATAGACAAGTTCATTCCAATGAAAGCTTCAGATCATTGGCAAAACCACACCATCTATTCAATGGCATTGGATTGCGATGTCCTGGACCCTCCGCAACTCGTCTGTCGATCGACCGTTTTTTGAGCGGATAGACAATGCACATGCGCGCGTTACATCCCCCCGACAGCAGGGGTCCCACCATAAAATAAAAAGACATTTCGAAACGATTCAAATGGATCGAAACGATTCATCACAACACGCGAAACGATTCAAAGGATTTCGAAA